AAACCCAGGACCTCTTGGGTCAGAGATCGATGCTCAATCCACTGAGCCACACTAGCCGGCCGGGTGATAGCTTGAAGTTCAAAGCTCAGCATGATCTTAAAGATGTCTGCCACACCCAGTTCCCTCATCAGCTGTATCATTTTTTGTTTGTTTATGTAAATAAAAGCACATGCTGACACATTCCTCCCCCCACCCCTGCAAGGTCTGTATTTTGCTTCTCACTTGGCCTCATGCTCTGAAGACCTTCACAGCAGCTCACTCTCGCTCAGAGCTGCCTGGTGTCCCAGCAACCCCGGGTGCAATAACCCAGGCCCTCCTACCCTCTGCCCTGCGGGCTCTGCCCCGGGAGCCATGGTTGCTATGCAGATGGCCGGTGTGACCGAGTTACCGAGCTAGGGCTGTGGGCCAGGTCCCTGTGTCTCCCTACCTGTGGGGACAAGACAGATCCCTCTCCGATGCTGCGGGCATGTTCCTACCTGAACCCGTTTTTGCACATGGTCAGTTATATGTTGCTTTCTCTCGAGTTTGAAGAGCATGTGATGTTACAGTTAAAGTTCTAAGTACTTCATCACGAGGGAAATTAGTCAAGCACTCTGAAAGTGTTTTCACTCTTAATGTGGTATACAGGGAGATATTAGAATAAGTTTAATCACTTTATCAGTCATTGTTTGCATCACTGTTGTTTTTATACCATGTTTTTGTTGTTTTCATATCATGTTTTTGTCGTTTTTATATCATGCCTCTGTTGTTATATCCTTTTGTTACTGTTATTTATTAATAAATTTATATATATATATTTTTATATTTTATTGATTTTTTTACAGAGAGGAAGGGAGAGAGATAGAGAGTCAGAAACATCGATGAGAGAGAAACATCGATCAGTTGCCTCCTGCATACCCCCCACTGGGGATGTGCCCGCAACCAAGGTACATGCCCTTGACCGGAATCGAACCTGGGACCCTTGAGTCTGCAGGCCGATGCTCTATTCGCTGAGCCAAACCGGTTAGGGCAATTAATTCCCTTTTAATGTGCACGAATTTCATGCACCGGGCTACTAGTTATGAATAATGCTGCCAGGAGCATTCATGCCATGCACAAGTCTGTGTGGATGTCCTAAATGCCCAGAGAACCTCCTTCCCACGGGATGCCAACCAAGGTAACCCCTCTGATATGTCCTCTCCTGGTGAGGCCAGGTTGGGGGGGTGATCTCAGTCCCACCTGCCAAGTGCCAATACCAGGAGTCCCTGAGCCCACTGAGGTTTCAGGTTCAATCTCCCTTCAGGACACATACAAGAAGCAATCAATGAGTGCATAAATAAACAGACCAACAAATCAACGTTTCTCTCTCTCTCTTCCTCCTTCCCTTCCTCTCTCTCTCTCTAAAGTCAATCAATTAAACAACAACAACAACAACCCACACACGTTAAAGCATATTTATGAGGCTGGGAAAATACCTGTCGAATAGTAGGCACTCTATATAAATTTACTTATATTTTACAGACTGTATCCACTTCTTAACCTGCTCCTCCAAGTAGGGCCGCCTCTTCATTCTAACCTGACTCCCACTGCATAGAACGATAAATGCTTTAAAGAAAGGATGAAAGGCCTGGCTGGGGTGGCTCAGTGGTTGAGCTTCGACCTATCCACCAGGAGGTCCCGGTTTGATTACGGGTCAAGGCACACGCCCGGTTCTGGGATCGATCCCCAGTAGGGGGCGTGCAAGAGGCAGCTGATCAATGATTGATTCTCATCATGGATGTTTCTATCTCTCCCTCTCCCTTCCTCTCTGAAATCAATAAAAATATAATTTTTTAAAAAAGAAAAGGTATGAAAGAATGATTCGTCAGCCGCCAACCACGCTCGCCCAGGTTAAAACCCCAGAGCTGCATCCCACTGCTTACTTAGGGGCAGCGTCAGTGCCAGACTCTGAACCTGTCTGCGCCAAACGTGACACAGCTTGTGGTCTAGTATCAGAGCCAGCCTCCCAGGAGCCCGCCCTATTCCGAAAAAATTGACCTCGGACGTTAACCAATCAGCTGTTGAGCAACGCTGTTAGTCCCGCCCAAATATTGAAACTGTTGCTTCTGAACGCGGAGTAACGTTCCCAGGCGCGTCTGGGCCCTGCCACTCATCTGACCAATCAGGGCGGCCTTGTGGGTCCCGCCCCTATTGGCGTTACGTAGGATGGACGGGGCGGAACTTCTTCCGGCACAGGCGGTGTCCAGCGGCGCGGATCCGTGGCTTCCGGGCAGTGAGTGCAGAGCCGCTAGGCCGGGGATGGGATGGGGTGGGGTGGGGGAAGGGCTCGGTTGGAGGCCCCGCGTGTGCCCCCGCGGGGTTCGGGGCTGCGATGGGAAAGATGAATTTTACTGTGAGCGCTCAGGTCGGCTGAGTCTCCCTTTCCCCGGTCCCGTCCCTGCGTCCGCCCGCACTGCCTCTGGTGCTTTTGCTACCCGTCTCTCTTTTGAACGTTGCCTTCCTGTTGCATTTGCGCAGCTTTTAGCTTTTCTTTTGCCCCCAATTTTTAAAAACGCTCCTTATTTTAAAAAAATCTTTATTGTTAGCTTTTAGCTTTTCAAAGGGGGGCTGGAGCCGGAGGAAGGCAGTGCAGGCTTTT